CAAGTCAACAACTTGTACACAATGCACCCCAAAAGCATTGAACAGTCGATACTGGTCTATCAAAAACCACAACACAGATTGAGTTCATGCGCTCACGTCAAACGGCCTGAAAAATAATACAAACAAAAACCAGGACTCCTAAAATTCAATTCAAAACAACTCTTTGAACATGATGCCGAACCCACCCACTGTCTCGAATGACCCGAAGCGAGCCTGCGTGCCAAATTCAGGCAGCTGCCGCGGCATTGGATCACATCTTTTGGCCGGTGCAATGGGACAATATAAAACAAATGATGGTCAATGTACTCAAGACCTGATCAAACAAAGAAGTCAACCTTTGTGAAGACCAAAAACCCGATTCAATTAATCATTCTTTTGAAGGCTTCGAAACCACAAAAACATGTGTTATTGTATATAGTTTGGTGACCTTTGGTGGTTCCCTGTTTACATGCCTGCGTGCTTGAGCGTCGTTCTGGCATCTACGGTGGTTCATTGTGAATATCCCATGTGTTTAATGCGCTGAATACACGCCCACCAATCTGAATCCAATCAATATATGTATACGTGGAGCATCGAAACAAAATGTTTGGAACACATATGTTCGGAACACCGAAACAAAACCAAAACAAATATAGTACGTGTTTGAAACGTATGTATAAAGTACTGTGCTTACACATGAGGATGCGAGCACGTGTGGCCCGACACCACCTTGATCATTGAATTTAACATCAAAAAAACAAATTTTGATAACGATATACAAAAATATATCTTGATATATCTTATATATTCCACTTACTAAGTTCGACCGGTCGAACTTAGTAAGTTCGACTAAGTTCGACCGGTCGAACTTATAAACATAGATACTAAGTTGGATAACCTCAACTAAAACATATATCGAACTTACATATCTTAAGATAGTAAGTTCACATTAAGTAGATCATATGTTCGCTATCTTCGCGTTGGACTTACTAAGTGGTTATATCATCTTAGTAAGTACAGACAGGAACACAAGTGCACATAGGCAGCATAGAGGCGAACTTAACACGGTTGCAAGTTAGTTACCACATTTGCAACCAGCTTATACCTAAGTTATAGTCTACTTATATTCGGTTAGTAAGCTGGACAACGAGGCTAACTACTTACAACCCCAACCGCACATCCAAGTTCGTGGCAGGCGCAGCACTTTGCTGCTTGCCAAGGGGTCGGATGTACGTCGGATGTACGGTTCCTGGCAGCATGTTGCTGCTTGCCAAGGGGTCGGATGTACGCCCTGGCGTCGTCTGGCGTCGGCTGGGCACCGGCGCAGATTTCGTGGCAGGCGCAGCACTTTTCTGCTTGCCAAGGGGTCGGATGTGCGCCATGGCGTCGTCTGGCGTCGGCTGGGCACCGGCGCAGATTTCGTGGCAGGCGCAGCACTTTACTGCTTGCCAAGGGGTCGGACGTACGCCCTGGCGTCGTCTGGCGTCGTCTGGCGTCGGGTGGGCACCGGCGCAGATTTCGTGGCAGGCGCAGCACTTTGGAAACCAGGTGGCTCCTTTGGAAACTTTGGAATCTGTGTATAATTTTGCTTCTATCTGATGCGACTTGCCGATTTCAGACACGGTTTTTGCAAAAGCGTGAGATGGCCTCCGAGGTCGTTGCCTGCGCTCGTTCACGGGAGCTCAAAGCTACGTAGAGTCAACCGTATGAGTCAACCATATGAATCGGTATGACCCGTATGCATCTTCCTGCTCAGGACACTTGGACCAGTTCGTCTCCGACGACCGACTCTCTGACGAGATACACACAAACGGATACACACAGATACACACTGCTGAACAAACACATACACACAAACACACACCTTACAAACACCTACATGCACACAAGCGTCATACAGCATACATCCACCCACACACTCATACACACTCACGGACAAGCACATACAATCAAACACACACCTCACCTACACACACCGACCCTTACGCATTCTATTTGTCTCGCCTGTCTCTTCCCCATGCTCACTCTTCAGCACCTTATGTCTGCAGCTTCAATCTTTCGAAGTTGTTCCCATGTGGGGTTATCCGGTCCTATAATTTTTGTGGGGATGCTCCCTATACCTCCCTCCTGGCGACCAGCTTTAGGTCCGTGCCAGCTTTTCATGCTACAGGGAATGGAAATAGTGGAAGTTGCACAACTCAATGACACAGGTGTTCTTTGCTTCATCATGGCGCGTTAGGAGCGTTAGAAGCATGAAGCATTAGCAGTAGCAACTTCAGGCGTGCCCAATGTTTGCAACTTTGGACTTGACTTACCTGGCACTTTACCTGGCACTGGTGCCTTGCGCAAGCTCTTCACCAGCAAGAAGGTGGAAGCACACAGAACGGCAGAGAAGACGGTGGCCTCGGCGCCAGAAATGCTTTCCATCCACCCTGTTGCGGCGTGCTTCTTGCAAACTTGCTGCGCGTTGCCGGAATGCCAGAGCCAAAAGGATGTTTACCTGGCTTGGCGCAGTGTGATGGATATTCTGGTAGCCTCCATTGATCTTACTGCAAGCTGTGGAAAAAGCGCCGTTGGCAGTGAGTGCTGGCTATGGCGGAAGCTTGAGGCCCAAATTTCACAGGTGTTTACATTTCGAACAGAGCCTGCAGAGGCATTCTGGCTGACCAAGTTGCTGGTCATTGGAGAGAAAGCAAAGTGGCCAAGAGGTATGGCTTAGGCCTTTGCAACACCACTTGTTCTGAAAATACATTTTTGAAGGAGCTTACCTGCTTACCTGTGACCATGTCAGGCTTGAAGCACGAGTCTGTATACAAGCTTGGTGCCTATTTTGTTGCTCCAATTCCAAGGGAACTGCAATTGCAAGCTTACTGGGATCATCAAAGCCCATCGACAGTGTCAAACCAGCAGGCTGGGCTGTGGACACGTTTGCAAAATTGGTGGTTGTGTCCTTTACAGCTTGCCCCAGCCCAGTCACCAACCTGTTGCTTTTGGAGCAGGGCATCTGACATGTTTATTGCATGGTGATGACTTGAAGTGTGCAGTTGTGCAAGCTTTTTCTTTGAGAGAATAGTCAGAGCCAGAGCAAAGTGACAAACACCGTATGCATTGGTCTGGGGTGTGGTGTGATCACCAATGTCAACAAAAGTTGTGAATTCAGGGGGTTGCGTTCCATCTTTGGTTTCTGAAAGCAAGTTGCAAGGTTTAGTCATGTAGCAAGAACGGCTGGAAATGTCATCATTAGTGGTTTGGTGTATTTGGCTTGGAGCTTGAGGCTGCATGTCTTAAAGCCTTAGAGCTACATGTGTTGGAGCTTGAGGGCTGCATGCCTTGGAACCAATAGGGCTATGTGTTACAGCCTTGCAAGTTGACCTTTGGTTTGAGGTGGGCTTTCACACGTTAGCCTTTTCTGAAATGTCTAGGTTGTAGCTCTTGCTATGCTTCTTTTCCACAGGGTTCTTCAAAAAACATACAAAACATCAAAACATAATGGTTGCGCTTGCAGGTGTGCGGCTGAGAAAAACCACTTTCAACAAATGTTGTTCAACATATCGTTTCAAATGGCAACCGGAATAGCAACATTCATATGATCTACATGTGCCTTCATTTTTGCTTTTAAACTTGAAATTTGCCCAAGCACAAGACCATGTGTCAAAGTATGAGTGTTCTGCCCTACCTCCACTATGTTTGAACATTGACACACACACAAAAATAAACATAAAAAATATAATCTTTCAACCTAACTAATTAGCTAAACGGTTGACATGTTCAAGGTGTAGCTAACCGTTCTAAACCCTAGCTTAATCTAAGTACACTTCTCTGTTGCTGAAGCTCTTGTCGTAAAAGCGCTTTGTTGGTTCCTGGGGCAATGTTATAATGTTGACTTGATTGGCAACATTGCACCTTGCCATTGCTAATCCGTTTGTTTTGACGGCGTACCAGTTACGCCAGCAGCTGGCATACCAGCTACGGTAGCTGGTGCAGCCTCTTATATGCAAAGCGATATGAGGTGGTACACCAGAAAATGTTAGTTGTACCTCTGACATAGCCTCTTGGTGCCTTACCAACGCTTCACTGTTACCGGGCACTGCGCACTGTGTCAAACCCATTGCCAGAACTGTTTGGCATTTCATCGTCCCAACTTCCATCCATAGCTCTCAGCCTACGGCTGATAACCTGTAGTTTCAAGGATCAGCACCAATCCTAGGCCCAACCCTGTGCACCGTTAAGCTGGACCTTTTCGCTCTACTGAGTACTCTACTGGCTTAAGCGGGTCGTTGCTACAGCATCTATACATGCCCCAGGAATTTCAACAATATGCAGTCACCCTGAAGTCTAAACCAAGCCTCGGTGTGCCGCAAGGGAGGCCGGACCAATGCGATGCCCCGGTTCATCTTCGCTGCGTCTAAGGGGAAATTCGAGAGCCCCACCACAGCATAGTCAGGTCGGTCTTTTGGGTAACCAGGTTCCAGATGCGCGTGAAGCACCTCCAAACCACATGGCTGAGACAGGACCGGAAAAGAAGAACCAACAACTCAAGACTAGCCAGAGAAGGCTTTTCACATCCTTTTGGGCAGGCACGGTTGTGGTGATTCCCGTTCCTGTCCAGTGCCGAGGGGGTCTATAGCATAGGCATACGTAGTGGATTTACGCGAACAAATTTAAAAAGCAGCCATTGCTCCACATCCTCATGTTCTTTCAGGCTACTCAATGACTCACTCAACAAATCTCAACAGTATATAGTAATGTCGACCGCTGATTACCTAGAACCCCCCACCTCCCGTTTAGCTTTATTTAGGGGTGGTTTATTCCTAGATCAACTGTAACAAATAGTATCACATGGTCAAATCAAAATCATTTTTGGCGTCACATGTGGCACCATTTTCCGGTGTGAGAAATTGAGAGACCTGCACCAAACGCTTGCGGACAGATGTCTGCTGGGTTTCAGGGCAATAGTTGATGGTGTCTGAAAACAAAGCAGCACATCGACATCGGATTTCTACCCTGACAAGGAAACCGTTTCAGGACAGCTCAGTGTCTAAGACACGCGCTTTTTCGCAGGCACGCGTGCGGGAAAATTCCCCGTTCACAATGACTCGCACCTTCAAGGGATTGTTGGGACTGGCTTCTGCCAGGCCGATTTCATCAAAGTGCACCAAAACCAAGGCGTCCTTTGCGATGCTCTCTTTGTAGGTCTTGGCCTTCTCGAAGACCTGAAGGGTGTTTTCGCGCACAGAACTCATGGCAATCTCTCAAATCCTCGGAACTGCACCCGAACATGCGCGGAAACTGGTGTTCTCCTCTTCAATGCCACTGGGGAACACCAGTTGATAGGGTTTCCTTCAGCTTCTTGGTTGCGGGTATCGAGATGTATCGAGTTGAAGCGTTCTGGATATGAAGTTCATGAAACTGGTCGAATGATGTAACTAGTTTAGCTCCTGTGGGAAACTCACGAGTGCTGTGCCAACTAATTCTGCGTCCGGAATCCGGGAAGAAGGGCACGAACAAGGGTTTCAGCTAGGGTTCACCGGGACACATGCCTAGATATGCCTACGCCCCGTGCAGTCGAGTCACGCCTTCTTTTTGCAAACAAGAGACACGAAACAAATTCCCGATTCCCAGTTTATCTAGTGTGCCAAAACAATGCTGTGTCTCCCTCCTGCCTTGGTGATGCCCTCGCTCGTCGAAACTTCGGATCCCTGATATGAGATCACATAGAGCCGAGGGAAGTTCCGTAAGTAGGGATCCTGGCAACGTTCAAGGGAGGGAAGTGTGCGTCCTGTTGACGCAAGGACCCACACAGACACTTTCCGAGCATGTTATGCTGCTTAAAAACCCTATTCTGTTCTAATTTTTTACCAAGCCTCAGAGTTGTCCATTTTTCCCGAGAGTGTCTGCGAAGGGTTCTTCGTAAAAAACATCTGCAGAATTACGTCTCATCTACATCTGCACATCTTCACCTCTGCACATCCACATTCTCACCTATATCTCAGCTCATCTTCACATCTGCACATCTACATCTCTGCTCATCTTCACATCCTCGCATCTACATCTCAGCTTATCTTCATCTTCACACATCTACATCTCTGCTCATGTTCACATCTGCACATCTACATCTCTGCTCATCTTCACATCCTCACATCGCTACACATCTACACCTCACATCTGCACCTCTCGCTCTTCTTTACTTTCTCTCTTAAGGCCGGCGGCAGTGCCGCCGGACTGCCACGAAACGCATCGAAACGCAACCCTCTGCGGAGATCGTGCGTGTCGAGCGCACGAAATGCAGGCGAGAGTGCGATTTGTCCCGGTCCGGCGCAGCCCTCTGCATGCAGGCGAGACTGCGCTTTGGATTTGTCCGGCGCAGCCCTCTGCGGAGATCGTGCGTGTCGAGTGCGCGAAATGCAGGCGAGAGTGCGTTTTGGTACAGGAAGATGAGAACTGGCGACTTTGTAGTACAACTTTAGTATGCGGAGCAATCTGTGGAGCTGGAAGCTGAGAACTGGCGACTTTGTAGTGCAACTTGAGTGCGCGGAGTATCTGGGGAGCTGGAAGATGAGAACTGGCGACTTTGTAGTACAACTTTAGTACGCGGAGCAATCTGTGGAAGCTGAGAACTGGCGACTTTGTAGTACAACTTTAGTACACGGAGTATCTGGGGAGCTGGAAGATGAGAACCGGCGAAGTTGTACTACAACTTTAGTACGCGGAGTATCTGGGGAGCTGGAAGCTGAGAACTGGCGACTTTGTAGTACAACTTTAGTACGCGGAGCAAGCTGTGGAGCTGGAAGCTGAGAACTGGCGACTTTGTAGTACAACTTTAGGACGCGGATGAGTCATCTCTCGCGGCTGAGTCATCTCTCGCGGCTGGTCTGGCGCCCCTGCAGCTGAGTCATGTCTCCCGACCACCCGGCTCTCTTGAGAGGTTGAGAAATTTTAGCTACTTTCCTTACTCATAAGTAGCTGCTACAAAAGAGTCATCGTGACGTTAGTATGTGTGTACTTCACCTTCATGACAAACGATGTTCGCTTGGAATACACGAGTCGCTTGTCATGATAGTGACGTCGTTTACTCTCAGGTCGCCCTGTTCGTGGAAACTTCAGTGTGAAATGTACGTTCTTCAGTTCTATTTGAACCTCTTCAGCGTTGTACTTGCACAACTAAGGTTGACGTTGCGCTGCCGTTGCATCGACGCATCTACGTCTAACTACACCCCCTCACCTCTCTACATTTACATCTTCACACGCTCACATCCGCAGATCTACCTCTCCACCTCACCACACCCACACATCTGCACATCTATATCACATCTGTACATCCACACTGTCGCTCCTTCACATCTGTCCTGTCTTTCTTTCTTTCTTTCTACATATCATTTCTCTCGTCTCTGTGCATTTACATCTTCGCACGCTCACATCCACAGATCTACCTCTCCACCTCCATACATCTACACATCTGTATTGCACCTGCACATCCACACTGTCACTCCTTCACGTCCATCCTTTCTTTCTCTCTTTCTATATATATATATATCTTTTCCACAGTGCTGGACAATCACATGTCTCGCTCTCGGGCCACCCGTCGTCTAGTTTTTTTATCAAGCCTCAGAGTTGTCCACCTCGAGATGTTCTGTAGTTTTTGGCTGTTGGAACAGCAAGTAGGCTTCTAATTGTATTTACTTGTTGCTTTGATCCGCTTGCTGCCCAAACCGATGCCCTCCGACGACTGTCGGACGACCCCCGAGATGTTTGCCTTCACGCGCAGAACCACACGAGCTGGATCAAGGGAGCCCAACTTTGCAAAAGCAGGAAAAAGAGATGAACCGTGGCTCGTCACAGTAGGTCCCTTGAGTGGACAGCATGTTGGACAATGTTGTAAAGTGGTATTGCTCAAAAAAAATCAAAAAAACACTCGTAGCAAATACCAGAGGCGTTCTCGAAGAACAAACATGAGCAATCCCTGACCTCTATGGATTCAATATCTGAGCAAAAGTCCAACACACTCACATCAATAACGATAAACTCACTCTCTACACCCAAGCAAGAGCAATCACAATCACTCTCACTGACAATCTGTAGTCCTTCTATTGCACCCAAAAATCCAGAACATTGATATCAAGAATCAAGCGGGGCGGGTCACCTCGGAGTCTGGGCCCCTCAAGCTGGCGTGCAAGATCCGCAGGGCTAAGCTCTTGGAGTTGCCCGGCTTTCCAACTGCGAAGATGGGAATCTGGTTCAAGATACAAACCATCATTACCTGCAGCAAACAGCTTCTGGGAATGCTTGGTAAATTATCCAAGTAAAGGAACATTGTCGACTGCTTGGGAAGATGAATCAGATGAACCTCTACCATGCTTTTGGTGGTGTTTCGTTTGGAGCCGCACGTCAGCAGGTGATAGGGGCAGTGAGCGTTTTCAGAAGCCCTGACTAGCAGGCTGACTGAGTGTTGTATTTGTTGACAAAACAGATCTATAGCTATCATTAATTCCACCGGTTTGGGTGAACAAAAAACCATGACCACTGACATCCATTCCATTCATCATCACCTCCAACAAACATATGCTGCATGCTCGGAAAATTTGTGACTTGTGTTTGGAATAACATTCGGACAGGAACAATTCCCGTTCAAAGGGTTCGCTAGCAACATGTTTTGCCCTCAGCACCCACGTGTTCCCACGGACGTCTGAGGAGCGGACGAAGACGTTTTCTAGGAGTGCTTCGTTTGTGGCAGTCATCTCTGGCAGCTTCATCAGCTCAATGTATCGAGTCATCTCGTTGTTCTTGAGCCAATTGAGGATGTTCCCACCTCCAAAGTCGTGCAAAAATGAAGTCAGGTCTCCATAACCAAGTCATACCAAGTCCCCAGAGTGCAGGTTACTATTTTGGATGAGGACTTGAGTTCGGCATCCAAATGTATTTAGTCTTGGATGGTTGGAGAGTCTGAAGCAGATTTGCCCTGGTCGAGCCTTCCCAGGTTTGCTGCCTGTTTTGCCTTGGCAAATATTTGCCATGGTTCTCGAAGATTTGCGCCACTTGCTGGCGGTAGACTTCGCGGAGTTTATGTGTCGGGAGCCGGCAGTGGTAAGAGACCACCAAGGCATTGAGCACCGATCTGAAGGTGATCTCCTCCTGGGCCGAAATTCAAATCTCTGCTTGCAAACACATACACTGCAAATGCAAAAAGAATCCATGAAAGGTTATCGAACCTGTGTGGTTCTATCAAATGCATTTCAAAACTGGGTGCACCAATACCAAATCTAGTGTAAAATTCAAGGTGCACACTGACTCTGAGGCAAGCATGGAAACAACAGAACGCAACTGTTGCCCTGATCTCCCATGATACTGCTGACAAGGGGATAAGCAGCTGAATCCCTCAGCATACCATCAATGCTGGATGTCTGGCTTGCTATGCTTCAACTCTTGTAGTGCCTTCAATATCTTCAATTCACAAAATGCCTGCAGAAATGAACACTGATGTATCTGTCTGTGTATGGCGAAACTGCTCTTGCAACGCTGCAAAAATGTCCGGGCCGACCTATTATGTCCAAGAACCAAAGATCGTCTAGCGGATAAACCATACCTCTTGAACCTTTCCTGACTAAGAGCATCTTCATTACCAGTGAACCCCTCCTATCCAACAAATCATTCGTGTGGTCAGAATCAGAGCCTCCAGCGCATCAGCACCCTCCTTCCATCCTTCGGACCAGGCTGCCGGTGATAGGTCTTCTTCCCATCTGTGACAGGACTCCTGCCGCTGGCGCAAACTTTCCTGCACAGCCGGACCCGGCGGGACGGGGCCTGACCTTCCACTCCGGATAATCCGTGGAAGCTACTGGAGGCATTTGTCGAAGCTGAGGGCCTCTGGGGGTTCACTGACCAATGCCATGATGGTTCATGTTTTATGATTGGTCAACTCATGTTAAGCATTCGAGAGTGAAGTGACCTCAAACATCCTCAAACCACGTGTTGTCGGAGGCGGTTGAAAAATGTTGAAGTATCCGCATGATATACACAGCCCCGCAAAGTTTGTTCAGGTTTCAGAAGTTTCTAAAATGATGCTGCTTAAAGGCAATTTCAATAGCAGCTAAGTGATGATGACCGTCCCAAGCATTCAAAGCAGTAAAAAATCATAGATTCAAAGCAGTACTTTCGAATCCACAAAGCTCTAGTCCAAGGACACGGTTGATGGGTGGATATGGGTGGTAAGGGCAAAGCATTGAGGTATACTCCAGCTGTTCTTTTTTCGGCAACCCGTTTGATCCAGCGAGCCGATGGCGTCAGCGAGCCTTTGGGTGACAAGGTGCGAACACCCAACACCCAACTACCGTTGAGATCCTTTGAGTGCACACCCAAAGTTTCAAAGAAGTGCGACACCACTCTTTTCAGGCCTTTCGAGTCAGTGACTCACCTCTGCATGCCGCTCATCAGAATCCTTGAGTCCATTTCCTTCCTCTTATGTGTTGCGGATCTGAGTTCCCAGCAATCATAGGCATCCAACCCCGACTCTACACAGCATGCATCGAGAAACGGTCGTTGCCTTGTACAGAAAAATAGACTGAACGACATCCGTTCAAGTTTCCATGATTCGGATCTCATCGACCCCAGTACTGCACATCCACATGGCAATCACATGACTCTAATATACTGTACTCTAATATATGCATGGTTCATTAGTGTTGGGGCCCTAAATCCAGTCCGACTTCTATCAGGTCCCACACATGTCCATCTCTCTGGCTTAGAGACCAATTCCGCTCTTCGACCATCGCCTGGAACCATTTGATGAGCTCCACGCATCGCTTCACATCCCGCAAGCTCAGCAGGCAATCCGGCTGATTCTCTGCCGTGAACTCTTGGGAGAAGATAATCAAATCCTTCACACAAGGAGCCCAGGGCCTCAGACAGCGCGGATGGGATGGGTTAACTCGGAAGTTTCACAGATCGACTAACTGACCTGGTGATGGATGATGACCTGGTCAACCCTATGGTCTTGGGAAATGCTCAAGAAACTCGAGCCAGTTCCGTGTCTATTCTGGGAGTCCTCGATCTGATTGGCGAGTGCCCTTTTTTTGTGGGAAAGATGGAGACCAGGAGGCTCGTCGCGTGCTACTCCCTCAGGAGCTGCCAGCTGATTGATTGGCCCGAACAAATTCCACGCAGCCGAAGAATCGGAATCAACAATTCTTGTTCCGTAACAGCTGACAAAATTGCAATATTTCAAGTGAAACACCTCGTGACCCTGGGGATTATCTTGGGACTGCAAGATCTTGAGCAATTGCTAGAGGGATGTTGCTTATCAAGTACCTTATATACTGTATACTGACTGTATACTACCTTGTCTGTAAAAGAGAGTAACTGTCCACGTGTAACTACGTTCTTTCTAGATCCCTCAAACAGGCATTCGGCATTCCATGAACAATGATTTACTGTAATTAATATGATTTAATCGTCTTCACTCAACACACTTGGTTCCAGACATCAAACATTGGTGGCAAACGAGGTGACCAGCCTGCTCGGCCGCCAAACAAATCTGTTCCACATGTGAAACCTTCAAAACACACCTGTGAATGTGCAGGTCAGTGCCGGTCAAACAGCCATACCCACGAACCCAACGACGCCGGGACGCCTTTCAGGGCGGTACCCAAACAAGCCGTACGGCTGCTGAACAGGTTGGCGGGACGGGAAGAGCGGCTCGACCATCGCTTCTACGTAACTCTCCTCTTCTTCCGTGCCTCAGTCCAAAGTGGGCGTGCAAGCGTAGCAAATGAACAGGGCTTGAAACCCGTGTTGTGAAACTGCTTCGCATCGGGGACCCTGCTTACAGGTCAGTATCAGAGTCAAATATCAACGGAAAACTCGGTTCAAAACCTTCGCTGTCACTGAGAGATGTCTGAAAGCAAGAATTAATGTAATATAATATGATATAATCATATGATATCAACTTGGTATATAATAAAATGACATACATGAAGAATCATGGAGACATCCGCATGCGTACGTCTGCTTGTTGATCCCAGAGCAAGTTTATACTATATGAGAGCCTTTCAAGTGAGATGCTTTGAGAAAAAGGCCTGGTACAACCAAGAGGCCGAGGAAGCCAAAGTCATACAAGAAGTCATAAAGCGCTTCGGGTAGCTCCTGGCGCTTCGGGTAGGAGCTCGGGTAGCCACAACGTTTGGGTGATCCTTTCGGGGCAGCGCATGTGTTTCGGTGTTGGAACAATGCGCAGAAACGTGTATACGTCTCAGCCGTTTGTCGTCCAGGATCGTGGCTTGGAAAGTCGATCAAAGCAGTCACAACCTGTTCAATGCCTTGGATGGTCGAGGAGTTTGATGCCACTGCAGTTTCCGGGAAGTCTATGATTGAGCAATGATCAGTGTCCATTAGCAGTAAATAGATAAAGGTGTTTAGGAATATTTAGGACATTTGTGTGATGGTGAGGAAATGTGAGGAACATCTACTGCAGTAAATCTTGAGCAAAAAGACTTCAACAACGATCTTCCTGCAGGCTTCATGGGTGGTATTCAGCCCTTTTCAGCCTGGCATGACTTGGTGGAGTCATGGCGCACCCGCCCAGGACAGGTCTCCTGAACACTATAAACCAATCGGGACATCTTCCGCCTCTGGCTGGTGTCCTTAGTGGCAAGAATCCAGGCAGGTAATTAAAATCTCTGTGAGTCATGCAGTGATATGAACCATAGCGTTTCACAACAATAGGGTCGTGTCACTTCAAGATGAACTTGACATACTATTGGGGCAAAGTGCGGGATGATCAGTGATTGGGCAGACCTCTTCAATCCCTGCCGCTCAGCAAAACATGTTCACTGAATGGCATGTTGGCCGACAGCAAAGGCTTCAGGGTTTCACAAATGTTTCATGACGGCATGAACTTCAAGCTGTTGTTCAGAACAAAAAGCAACGCATTGACCCACCAAATGGCTGCAGATCAACACCAAGCATCCCAAGACCGTGGTACATGCTACAAGTAGATACAAGTAGCTTGACACCCCTCGTCCACCAGGGTCTTCAGGGTTCGAGACTGCCAAATCGCTGAGCTGAGCAGAAGAAAAACACAACTCCACGGTCCCCTGCCTCTCAGACCCAGCGTCTCCAAGCACTAGCTGCGCTTGAGCCCGGCGGGCTTCTGTGGTCAGGACCGCCTTCTTGCGATAGGGATTGCCTGGGAGGCAAAGCACTAGCTGAGCGGCGGCGCTTCCAGGGACACACCTAAAGAGCCAGAGCTTTGATTATAGCCTCCCAGCAAACCCTCAATGATTCACAGTGCAGCACTTGTAAAATCAGTCAGTCGCCTTAGTGACCTTAACTTAACCCACAAACCTCAAGCTCCAAGCTTCCAACCAGTCTTGAGTACCAGTAGCAAGACCCAGTTTTCTGGCTGAATATTTGGTTGGCAGCCTTGGAAAGCACCTTCCAACAGCAAACTTTCTGGCCCTGCGAGAACATCAACCTCCCTTCGTGCTCGTGGTAAGAACCTGGTAAGGCTGCGAAGCTACATACAGGTGGTGTAGCACTAGGGATGAAGTGGTGTAGACCGGATGTGCTCAGCCCTCCGAGTCCAGGATTCCAGGATATGGGAGTGAAAGATGTGTTGATCCCCTATGCCGCAGGAGCGAGGAGATCCAAAGAACGTGTGAGTAGGGGGGATTCACAGGTTGGTTTGGGGCTCAACATTATGACCACAAGACTGGTGACATCTTCCAGGAAAGATTGGGAAGTAGATGGCACCAAACCTGGATCAACAGGCTGGTGGTTTTGGGGGATCCTCGATCTCCTTCTCAAGTGCACTCAGTTTGTCCATCAATTCTTGACTTCCTCGCAAAGGCACATGCCGCGAGGAGCACGAGCTTCTCAGGTAATGGCTTTCCAAGCACTCGATGATGGCACAAAATCCTGACTTGGCCGATCCGAACCGAGAAGCTCGGTGTGGTGGTGTGAGTGTGGTCTGGCTCAAAAAGGACACAACCAAAGGGAACTGGCGGGTTTTGGGTCTGAGATGGTCTGAGTCTAGTTGTTCGTTTTCCGGAAGTGTTGTCTTCTATTATTCTAATCTATTCTACATTCCAAATTCCAAGACCTGGCTCTTCAAAAGTGACGTCGTGCCCACCCAGCCCGAACTCTTGGCAAGGAATGCTCAAGCTGATTGGCCCGGAATTTCATGGAATTGATGCCAAGAGTATTGAGGGGATGGCGTGGCCGAAGTAAACCTGCTGCGTCCCAAGCTGATCTGGGCGCACAATGGAAGCTTTTGGATGCTGGTGTTCTCAAGACCTGAAGGGTCAACTAAAACGATCGAAAAGACCTGGATGCTTGGTTGCACCTGGATCAGAACACCTGCCCAAGAAACAAGGTGTTGAGTGTCTTTCTTTTCAACCGAGGTGCTGCAGAAACTGAGTCTTTTTAGAACCGAGGATCTCTGTGACCAGACCCATGTGCTCACAGGTATTCACCTCGTCCAGAAAGGCCCAGGTCACTCTCTCCTGTGATCAGCGAGTGAAGCGACCACACAGGCAGAGGTGAAGATGTGAAGCGACCACGCCGCCCAAAAAAGACGACATGAACGTATGGGGAAGATCGGAAGAATTTCATTGCCATGCTCTTCTCTTGGAATCTTGAGATATATAATAGTATAGTGATCCCCAGATAGATAGTGGCAGGGGTGTCCGATACATTTTGAGTGAGGATCTACTGTGCATCTTTTCTATCTATTTGGGAGTCTATGTACCAGTATCAGATGTTTCGGTTGATCCATCTTCACTGTGCATGCTTTCGGAGTTGCCGTTGATGCAAGAGATCCGACTTCGCACCCATTCGCACCACCCTGGAACCTGTTTGCCATCTGGAAAGTATCCAACTGCTGGTGTCATGTGAGTCATGTGAGTCATGTGTATGCCATCCATTGCCATCCACAACAAGTGTTCATCACCGCACCTGTTGGTTTGGTGCTTTTGGATGGACAATGATGGAAGAAGAAAGACAAATACTCAATGCAGTGCGAAAACGCTGAGAAATTGGGAAACCCAATGAAAAACCATGGAAACTCATGGCTTCTGCAGAACTTACAGTACCCCTCAAACACTTGAGCAATCTGCGAAGGCTTCCAAGGCGAGACATGTTCTGCGGCGTGACTCGTGCGGGTTCACCGCACCGCGACGTTCTGTGCGCACGATGGGCGAGCGATGTTTTCGCCTCCGAGGCCACTGTTCATACGACATGGAGAGCTGGCAAAAGCATCCAGTTGGAGTCCACTGTTCACAGCATGTCTTGCCTTTGATTGGTTTCTTCCAAAATGTGAAAACAACGCCAACCAAAAGGACGCGAAGAACACGCTCCGGGTGGCAAAGACTGTGACACATGTTGAAGATTGATCAGGTTTTGCTCGGGTGGCCGACATCTCCTTGCGCATCCTTCAACATTTCACTTGACTCTCCCCGCTTCAAACTCTGAGACACGAAGAGAAGCGCGTTCGCTCCTGGCTGCTGCCTGCGCTTTGCACAAAGCGGATGATGTCCTCGGCCGAAGTGCCAGCATGGACGTTGAGGCACAGGAAGTTGACCGTGAGCAGCTTCGCCAAATGCCGGATCAACGAGGTTTTGCCACAACCAGTCCTTAGAGAGAGCATACATATGCCATTGATACGTGAGTTGACTCTAACACAGGTGGTGCGAATACGGGCCCATTGAAGCATGTGAAGGCATGGTTAGTTATTAGCCGGTCCGCCGGTCCGGGTCAAACGGGGTCAAACAGTTGTTCTTGGTGCTTCACCACATTAGTAAGTCAGGCGCCCAAATGATCGCTTTGAGGGACTGACGCGGACAGAATGCCCTTCAAATGCCCTTCAAAAGGAACACAAACGCCCTTCAAAAGGAGCGCTGAATAGAGATGCTGAGGGTACAAACCACTCCATGATTTGAAGATTCCTCGATTCTGCTTCCATGCGTCTCACCCATGATGATCACAGGCACTCGAGCCTCGACTCTCAGTGCAATCCAGACCATCTTGATAAAGTTATCTGGTGACACCTTGGTTGCAAGGTGCTCACTGCCCTACATTTCCGGTGAATCACCTACCTTGTACAAAAAACTGAAGCGCCAAGACACCACATAGCTGCTGCCCTCGGCCGGCTTGCCAAGCTCTTGGTTGAGCGGTAAGATCATCCGGCCCAGGCGTGCCTTGGTTGAAGCACTCGACTCATGGTGAGAGGTAGTGAGTGGCATGTTTGTGTTTGGTGAGGTTCCAGGAAGACTGTTCCAAAAGAGCAGAGAGTGGTCGCATGCAATCGCTCAACTATCCGTCAGTAACCTCCAAGACCATGAAACAAGGGGTGCAGCCACGTCCGCCCATCTAGACGTAGCACACTGGCACGATCGGAGGATCGCTGGACTTGATTGGCACGTATTATTGAATTGGCAACCACACCCACTTCAATTTGGGAAAGCCTTCTTGGGGCTCTTGAGAGCCAACGAAAACTTGGGCCTCTCTTGCCATCAGCAGGGTCACGCAGAACTTCATATTTCCTCAGTTAAGACTGCAGACCTTGAGTCCAGTGCGGGGTGCTCTGATTCTTCAGCTGCACATCAAATCCTCTCCAAATCCTCCGGAACTCCCCACAGATCGACTGCCGATCGCCTCGAGATCCGTGGTGGACATCGTTTTGAAGTCCGGCAGCGCGCTCGCGTCGCCGGTCGCCTGTGAACGGAAGAGCGCCCTCACGGCGTCGGGCACCTCGCTCTCCTGGAACCACCGGCTTCTCCGTGGGGTGTTTCCGGCCAGGCCAAACAGCGGTTGGGAGATATGGCTTATGGCGATCGGGTGAAGCAGCTTCCGAGCCGTTCATACAGCATGCATCTTCAACTCAAGCTTGTGTAGTATTACTCCATGCTATAGCTATTATAGCAGTTTTCTGTTCTATTGTAAAGTAACCCTGCACAACCAAGCGCTTAGGGTCCATAAGAGCAACTTGACAAGTTGTTGCGTTGGCATGATCTAACGTCCATTTGGATTTGGTCCATTCTTGACAATATATCATAATATATCGATCGAAATCGAACCTTGTGATGCTTCTTGTGGGCCGCATGGCACAAAGAAGAAAATGCAAACGCGCAATCATATTTGACCCAGCCTTTTGGGCTGACTCGGTGCAGCAAAGATCTTTAGTTAAAAAGAGAATTGCACGAATCACCTTCAACATCCTTCAACGCTTGATTGGGTGTGATCTCTCCCGGCCTTTTCCGCCACTGAAATGGGGATCCGGGGATCCAGTAAATGGGGCATTCTCATAACCAAAGGTGTCCCGAGGTTGCCCGCAAGCCAGGACATAGCACACGCACAGCGCGCACAGCGCGCACAGCGCGCACAGAGCGCACAGAGCGCGGGCGTTGTCCTCCCGGTAGACCAAGGAGAGGGTTTGCCGGTCAAACCGATTGAATAGGAGCAACGGCTTCGTCTCAGACCAGCGGACCATCCCCTAGCATCAAGAGGAAGGGGAAGCACAGAAGATTGGCTCCATCTTCGAAGGCAAAACCATCGATGAAAGAACATCTAATAACATCTATCTAATAACCATATCTAACCCCTTCCCTTAGTTGATCCAGTAAAGCCTGATTTCTTGATTCTTTGGGTTTCAATGAAAAGCAAATGTTGGCATCGAAAGACTCCCTCCCATTGCGAAGATCACAGTCTTTGTGCCTCAAACATCTCCGCAGCAGCCGCAGCCGTCTGATCCGCCGCGTGTTGCTCCCGTTGTCGCAGCCGACCCGAGGTTACCGCCCGGGTCGTGAAGTCGATCGCCGCCTCGTCCGGCGGACGCATGGTAAGTCCTTGCCTTTTGGAAGACAAGCAGCCCATAAAATGAATCACGGTCGTTCACTTGCAGATTTCGAATGCCCAGAATGCCCATGAAGAATAAAGGCTCAAAGCTGCAGGACAAAGATCCACCCAAGGCTACTTGCTTGAACTAAGTGAGTGTGTGTGTGTGTGTGCTGTGTATCGCATGTTTATGGAGAGATCTACGAAGGAGAGCTTGCCGTTACAGTATCGAGCCACTGATGGACATCGTGCAGCGTTATGGCTGAGCCCGGTGTACTGACCATGGGTCTTTTTGGTCCACTTGCAAACGGGATGAACAAGAACTGGTTGTTGCACTGTTCATTCAAAATTGGTCGTTGTGCTTTGTTTCATTCAAAAGTTTCACTGCTTCATCCACTCTGATTCAAGTCCATTCAATTGGTACTACCCACGGTGAAGCTCCTTGTGGGTGGTTCAAAAACTCTTGCGCACTTGGACAACGCATCAAGAAAAAGGGATGGTCAGATCAAAGGACTTGGCCCAGCCGTTTGGAGGCTCACTCCCCGATTTGAAGGGATTCCATTGCTCCTTCGCCATCCATCACCATCACCCACCCACTATCGGAAGTCTTCACTGGGGCCGCGCTCGCTGGCGCTCGCTGGCGCCGTGCGTCTGGCCGCGCCTCCACCAATCGATCCACCAGCTCCTTCCGCACGGAAGATGCCTCGATCTGCAACTTCTGCAGAGTCTTCGGGTCGAAGTACGCCTCGGTCGTCGGAGTTGCACTGTCCTCGACCAGCGATTTGAGGGTCGAGTTGCTCTAAAGCTGCGGGGTCCCGTGATTTGGCATCTGCTGGGTGAAGCAGCCACAAATGCCCAGAGAAAAAAAAAAAAGTTATATATATATATAACACAAAAACAAAGGAAAAATTGGGTTGTCTTTTTCGTTGGTTGATGTTGTTGCCCTCCCTCTTCTGCAACTGTTCTGGCTGTGATTTGGACATGTGGGTGCTTCTAACCTGAACAACTTGTAAGCCTGGCCTCCATGTTAAAACTAAGAAAGGTTAAGAAGCTACCTGTGGGACAATGAGGCCTGGGTTCAACAAGCTCCAATTCCAAACAATTGAACTGAATGATCAGCAGGTGCTCGCCTACCATGGCTTTGGATGTACCGTTTTAAACATGTGTTGCTTTTGACCTTTCGTTCCAACTACCCCTGCCCTCCCTGCCCTCTCTGCCCTCCCTGCCCTCCCTGCCCTTCCTGCCCTGTCTTTTCTTTTCGTCCAGGATTCCGATGTGCAAAAGCTGACGCATTGCACCGCCAACACCCGGAGAACCATATGGAGCAAGGCATAGGAAGGCGGACCTGTGCCGGTCAATCAAGATGGCTCACTGCAAGGAAGTAAAGCTCAGAATGAATTAAAGCATCCAAACACGGTCTGAAGCAGAACTGCAAACAACACGGAAAGTGAGCACCCAACAAGCATAAATTTATTGGCCACGTACTTGCTATTTCATGCAGTGTTTGGGCTTGGCGTGACTAAATACAAGCACCAGTGGTTTGCAGAACGCTTTCAAATGGCTCCCCTACCTCTTGTCATAGCTTGTCATGATTGCTCTTCACAGTCTGACCCGAGTGATTGACGCCCTGCCAAACCGAACATCCGTGATTTGTACCTTCTGCAGCCGTCACCTCTGGAAATAAATCAGAATGATGGTCATTAATTACCAGCAATTGCTTGCTCAAGTTTCTTGGACGAACCAGCCAAGATCTATATACAATTTATCAGAACCCTAATATCTCCTTCAGTCAGAACCTTCTTGGTGTTGCCCAGCATGGCGGTGCCTGGCCTTGTGCTTCAAGCCTGTGTACCAAATGCCGCTTGAGCAAATCTCGACAGCGCTCCTCCCCGTCAGCTTCTACAAGACTGTGATCGGCACCCTGAAGAGTGGGTAGATTGTATCTGTCATTCATCCACATCGGCTGAAAATTGTCTAGAATATTCAGTACTAGGACTGGCTGACATGAACGTTATTCATAAATACACAACTATATAGTCTATAGTCACTATAACTACAATATACATATAGGCTGTGGTACTATAGGTTCTGTCATTGTGGGTTGGTGTTGCAGAGGTACCGTCTAAGTTCCCAGAAATTGAAATGGTCGTCGGTGTCTCTCAAAAAGCCAGCAGGTCAACACTATCTCGAGCCTCACCCTGTATCCAAATACTAAACTCCAAATGCTTGGAAAGATTGCCAGAATTCTCTGCTCCCGTTTTCGACCCGAACAGCGGTCTCCAAATCCCTATGCAAACCGCCAAACCGCCAAACCGCCCTCCGCAGCTCCTCTGGCATGGCAGGGCCATCAAGGCTCACCTTTTGTGCGAGGTTGGTGGTTTCTCTCGCCTCCAAGATCTTGGCCACCACCTGTGATGGGCTCCGCACCTGCGACCACGACGTCGCGATCGCAGTCACTTCACAGCAAGGATTTCACTTCCCAGCGATTGGCCTATTGATGTTGACTGGCCTCCAAGAAGCTAATGACTGACCTCACTTCTCAGAAATGGTGAAAAGTCATTGGCTCCTTTGGCTCTTCCACATTGAGGGATATAGACGATGAAGAGGCCCCGTTTTTGCATGCGATGCACTACTTGCGTTCTATGGACCTAGATGCTTTGCCCCAGCATACGAACATGACCGAAAATGAGAAGGACACACCCACGCGAAGGCTTTGGTAACAAAGGCAAAGAGATTCAGCCAGGGGCTGGGATCATTGGCGTGAGACACACCCTAGGCCCTTATGATGTTGATGAATCCAAGGTTATGATATATGGTGGACTTGAGGCTTCTGTTGGAAGCAGGCGACCCTGTGCACGCAAATCCACAGGCCCAGTTCACACGTTCAGAAGGCCACAAAGGTCAATTGAACATGGAGTTCCTCTTCATTCATGATATTGACGGATTCATTCACCAGAGTAGCATGCAGCATGGTTGTACGCAAGACTCTTCAGGAGAAGCACAGGCTCCACACCTAATTAGACTCACCCCACTACTCACCGCCACAGTACAACTTGTTGAAACAAGACAAATTTGTTGGGAAATCCTTTCTACTCCCCACTTCACTGCAAGAGAAATGTCCAATCTGTCGAGAAAAAGCACGTTCACCCATACTTACACATGCACGAGTTGCGCCCGTAAGTCGCCTCGGGGGAGACGTAGAAGGAACACATTTCGAAGTCGGCCTTTGTCAGTGAGACCAAGCCTCAGTGGCGTCTGCGGAGAGCGCATGTGCTCGACCCTTCCGTGTGATGTGGCTCTGGATCCACAAATCGGACACATTGAGGCTCTGAAAGATATGCTGAGATCCATCTTTATAGAAGGATATAGAAGGTCATATATGATCCATCAGAGAAACAACATGCCTCCAAGAACCTTCGTGGACCTTCTGAGATTCAATGAGGATCGATCTCTTGGATGCACTCGCTCACTTGCCTCAACTGTCAACTGTGCAAACCGAAGAAGCTACATACTGTGAGCTCCAGGAGAACCGGAGTAGACAAGTTGGCGAGCTCGATGAAGGTGTAGTCTCGTGGCACCACTGCGATCATGGACTCAGCTTGCAAGCAACCCCACAAGCTGATCTGCACCAGGATGTCCTCAGCGCCAGGTTTGCTCTCACTCTCACTGACCTAGTCTAACAGGGTGAGCCCTGAACAACCTGTGGCACATCTGGTGCATCAAAAAGAATATGTCCTCACGCCAAGCCATCTCATCTGCTCCAAGCATCATCCAAGATATCCTGCTCCTGGGTCGGGCCAATGTCCAAATGTAAACAGTCACAGCCGCGCCATTTCTGCAAAAGCAATCGCTGCATGAAGTCCTCAGCGAAACTCGTGAATCTGCTAGAGCAACATCACACAACAAAAACCATGGCATTGAGCAGAAATACCAAAGGTGGCCATGTCCATCTGAAACTGACAACATTACAGTACCTTCAGCAGCGTTCAAGTTAAAGTTTCAACTTACAACTGAAATAACAACTTATCAGCCTCCAAAATTCTTTTTTTTTAGTTATGTCGATTCTCACCGATTTTCGCCGATTGCCCGAATTCGAGGTTTGTCGGCGGTGTTCTCGAATCCTGCTCAGGCCGTGGGTCGTGCAGCATATCCATGAAATCAGGAGATCGCCACGATCAAAAACACATTAGAAGCACCCACTGCCCCTCCTCATGCCAGGCCTCTCCCGGATCTTTTTTCACGAGCGTTGCTGTCACTGCCGTTGCAAAGATCAGCACACAAGTGCAAAACGTGCACGAGCCGACCTAAGACTACCACACAGCATCACACAACGAATGAAATATTAGAAACCAACATAAATCAACCCCATGGACCATTGAATCGATCCCTTAATTGGACATGCAGTCCGTCCATGGTGGCATCAAACTGGAGAGAACAATCTGGTGCTGCTGACCTGTTTTATGTTTTGGGCATAGACTGCACAGTGCTCTTTTTGTCAGGGAATCTGTTGAACCATTTGATCCGGTTCATGCATCCTCTGGCCCCCTCTCAGTTGGCCGCTTCACCTGCGCAGCCGATTTTGGCACAGCTCGCGTTCGACTTGGTCAGCTAAAAACATGGAAGGCCCTCTTGTTGTGCCACCTCATGGTGCTGGTGAGAGGGATAGGGCGTTTGGCTACTCCCTGGAGGGCTTAGCTAGGGAGTGGGACAATCTTGACCAAGTCCGAGACAGACTCAGGGATGGCCACCACCTCATCATGCACTATGACCCGGGTACTGGCCTACTCACGGACCAACCCGTTGAGAAGACCTTACAAAACATCCGGATGAACCGGATTCCGCTCAGGCCACTCCATCTTCGCATGAAAGCTCAGGAACTTCAGATTCCTACCATCGATGTCCTGATCGAAGAGGTGAGGAAGTTGTACAAGTACTCCAAGGTCAATGTCTCGCATGACGTTCTTTACCATGAAACTTGGGCATGTCGCAGGCTAGCTAGCTTGGCGAAGAACGCTCTGCAACATCGAAGATATCTCTCGGAGGACTGGTTGATTGTTGTCTTCGCGTCTTGATATGCCTTGACATGTCTTGACTTGAATGCGTGCACTCACGTGTGCATGTGCGGGCGCGCAAACACACACAAACATGTGTGCGCGTGCGTTTTACCACCTGCACCTGTATTTCAGGTCATTTAGGTGTTGATGCACAGCGTCAGTTGTTTGTGACTCTACCTGTGCAGGATGACTTTGAGCTCTTGGAAGTCGCCGAAGACCTTGGAATAAAGGTTCCAATCAAGAAACGGGAGCGGGTGAGTCTTGGTCAGTCCTACCCCATCATGGATGACCCGGACAGTTTGCCACCATCTGCAGGTGAAACACCGGCTGCGTCACCAAGAGCCTCCCCAACGGTGACACCAAGGGCAGTGGAACCATCGCCACCGGCAGTGCCCGCATCGTCATGTCCCGCACCAATCTCACCAAGTGCAGCCAATGCGCTGGCTGAGAGTGGGCAAGCATCTGAGATGGCAGAAGTTGACTCGAATGGTCGTCGACAGCTCAAGTTGGAGGATCTCAGCGCGTGCACCTTCCGACCTTACACCAATCAGGCCTTCCATGGGGAAAGGCCAGTCGCGAGGCCTCTTCGTCAAACCACACTGGGGGAGATGCCAGCTTTGGATGGACCTGGTGGTCATGTGCCAGAGGATGTGGGGGCAGCGCCAATGGATGGACAACTGCTTGGACACACTGGGCCAGCGCAGGCAAAAACACCAAAAGCATGCGCACATGTGTGAAACACCTTGGCATAGGGTGAACAAGAAATAAACATAAAGAAACCATATATTTATTGAGCAATGTTGAGCACATGGGTCAATGCGTGCAGGTTGAAATCATCGAGTCTGAGGACGAATTGGAGGGCGGCAATCCGGGCGAGGCTATGGACATGGCGGTCGAGCTCTTGAAAGTGTTAGAAGAAATCAACCAATATGGTGGGTCTGAAGAGTCACGTGGTCAACATATCAAATTTGTGCAGGGCGGCGCTCTTGTTCTCGTTCCCTCATTTTCTGTGGTGGGTCGATGCATGGCATCTTTTTTTCTCCCTGAAGTTGACTTGGGGGTTATAGTTATAGAACACCGCGCAGCTCCCGTCCAAGGTTGGGCCAGGCCTCAACTCCAAAGACCACCATTGATGCTCCGAGCCCGAAAAATGGTCCTGCAGGCGCTTTGGCCAAACAATGAGTCAATCTCCATGAGACAGTGTGCATGTGTTGGTTGGTCTTGGTCAAGTGTAGAGCCAAGGTTCTCCACCTACTTTTCTGCACGACTCACTTCCTGCCGCCGTGGACACGGACGAGACCCAACTTTATGCAGTTCCACCGGAAGAGTTTGAGAACACACCCGGCATGAAATCGATGCTGAAGACGGAGGATGAGAAACTTCTGGTCAAGAAATCCCAGCCAGAGGAGGAGGCCACTGTGTTTACAAAGCTGGTCACATGTGTAGTCACCCCCGCATGGAGTTTTATAAAATGTCAATTGCACTCAAGCATGTGTACACCAAGTATGGTATGGTTCAAACTTCTCCAAGTCATCTATGTCAGTGTGGCCAAAAAAGTTTGGTTTAACAGTATATTGATAAAATGTCAATATGTTTAGTTGTTCTGGCACTATCTCTCTCTCTCTCTGCCCTGCTTCTTCTGGGGTGTTCCACCACGCTTTATTTAAAACAAATGCTTCGTTTGACCCTCAAAGACTCAAAGGCATTTGACATGTTCTGAGAACTTTTGGGGAAATCACTTGTGACTTGTAGCCAACCCTCCAGGCGAAGGAGGAATACCCACCTGTGCCAACGCATGCGCCGGTGACTCGTCGCCAGCAGTTTGGAATCAAGGATGACATCAAGGAGGAGAAGGCAGAGAAGAAACGGACCCGCAAACGGCAGGACAAGAGTGCCAAGGGTGATGATGAATCTGAATATGTTGAGAAAGGCAAGAAGAAGGGCAAGAAGAAGGGCAAGAACAGCAAAAACAAAAAGACAAAGAAGGCAGCTGCCGCAAGGAAGTGCAAGAAGGCACCCAAGAAAGTGAAATCATCGCCATCTCAAAAGAAATTGAGGAAGCTCCGCCAAGTGAAGCTGCTTTCGCCCAAGAAAGAAGTGACTTCTGTGGAGCCTGCTGGTGAGTCACAAGAAGAACAGCCGACAGAAGAGCCACAGGAACCGTCCACCACCCGTTCTGAACCACCTGAGGCCATTGAATTACCATCGTCTTCTCATGAGGCTGTCCGGAAGAGCGGCAAGCCCAAGAAGAGATCGAGAAATCAGAAGGAGGATGAGCAGAAACCAAAGGGGAAGAGCGGCCAGAAGAAGGCAAAAGAAGCTAAGGCAAGTCACAAGAAAGCAACGGAGGCAAAGAATAGCGAGATCGGTGATGATGAAAAGCCAAGTGAAGAGGAAGCCAACTACTTTATTGAATCCATTTACAAGGTGCTCGAGGAGTATGAGGGCCAACACTACACCATCGAGGCTCCGGCGAACTTCCAAATCAACTACTACTGGAAGAGGGAAGCCGTGGGGGTCAAGGCTTCCAAGGATTTGTTGGCGCCATCGGTGGGAAGGAAGAAGCCTGCTTCAAAGGCGGCGAGCAAGACCAACGCCAAGGCAAAGAAGGTGTACAAGTCGAAGAACTACAGTCAGATCGCCTACTTTGCACTCGGAGGGTGCATCTATACCAACATGTGTTTGGCAGGGCTCTTCGTTCCTTGGCAGCAGGTATAGATGAACATGGGCATTCAAATGTTATCAGAAAGTCTATCTGGGTGGATGAAACCGTGCTCACTTTTCTCTCACTTTAGGGTGGGTCCCCTGCATCCCTCACGCCTGGATCTCTGTCCGCTGAGGCTGAGAAGATGGCATCCATCAAAGGCCCCCTGACCAAGTCTGTGATTGCGGCGTATGTTGAATGTTTGAAGAGTGCACAGCAAAAGGTCTGGGAAGATGAGCGTCTCTTTCCAAAGATCCCCAGGTCCACAAAGGACAAGGGTGGGAATCAGAATGAGTAGGAAAGCAGCCAGTGGCAAGTGGCCCAAAGTTCATACAAACACGGTTCATATACTGTTCACCCTTTTCACCATCATAGAATCATAGATGTTAACCTTGAACTTTTGCATGGTTTCCTAATATAGTTGCCCGAGGAGCTGCACCCTACACGTGTTGTGATTTGGTATGGTAGGGCATGCCCTCATTGAAGTGTGATGTGGCAAGCTCTACATTTGGGGCACGCATGATGACACATCATGCAAAGTTGGGGATCATAGATAACATTTCCAAATCTCTCGCAAGGACCCTGGTGCGCTGCACAGAAAAAAGGAACCCTTGTTTGTCAATCTTTGACCATATAGTGTCTCAACATGTCTCGAAACTATATGCTCGTGCACAACTTTGCTTTTTGATGATATTTTGAGTCAGGTCCCACACACCCACACAGCACCTCTCCTGCCTCATGAACCAAAGCGCTATATGGCCGGCTTGCCAGGTGATGGCCCGTCCACGAGCCTTTCGAAGGTGCACGGTGGGCAATTCTGTGCGCTGCAGCGGATACCGAGCACGGACTGGAGTTATCAAGAGTAGAGGTCTTCCTCGCATGCTTATGTGCTACATGATTTCTGCGCATGCAACCTGCACATGGCAAGGGTTTTGCAGTGCTTTGCAAAGAATGACTGACCCAGTTGCACAGCCTGGATTGTTTCTCGAGTTGAGCATGGAGCCAACAAACGCCTATTATAAATTCTTGAAACTCAGAACCTCGGCTCAGTCAACTTATGCAAGACCGATGGCATACACCATGCACACATGTATGAAACAAACACGGATTCACAAGGCACCTTTTCTCGACATGCTGGACTTTTGCAAATTGAGGGTTCTACACTGGGCCATTTGCCCAGATCGATCAACCATGGCATTGCGTTCCTTGGACAGCCTTGTTCACCGCCTTCTCTTGTTGCAAGCGCCAAAGGCCGGGGTTCAATTGGGGCATCATGCAACAACAAGAACGTTTCAGGGGAATCGGGAATCGTGTGAAGGAGTCCAATGCCACTGTCTTCTGTTTGGATTGCAGACCTTCCGATGGAGAGCAAGTGGTCAGGCCCAACTCCCTTTAACGGTCCCTTGCAGGCCTTCATCTTCCTGGTGATCCTGGTGGCGTTCACTGGAAACCTTCCGAGCATGCCTCAGGCGTGCCAATGGCTCTTCTCGATAAACGCATGTGAATCATATAATATGCATGACCGGTCAAGGCTTTACAAAAGGGGCTCGAAGTGGTGAGTTCTTTCTCTTGCTCCGAAGGAGTTGCGGTACCTGGAGCTGTTTGCCGGCGTGGGCAATTGCTTTGCTGAAGCTCGTGAAGCAAAGTACCCGGGGCTGGCGTGTGATGTTGAATATGGTGCTTCTTTTGGTTTCAAACCTGAGTCGAATCCCTTCAACTTCATGGGGCCATCAGGATTTGCGCCTTGAACCAAGTTGTCAAGAAGCATAAGCACAAACACCTGTTGTTTTGACCGGCCCCGACATGTTGACACTGTGGTACCCATCAAGCAAATGAGGCTAGCGATTTGGGCAATATTGAATTGTCAAGAAGATGAGTTTTGGGTGCTACTGGGCACCGTGTGCAGCAGCTGGGTGCATATAAACACGGGTACATCAAAGCGAAGTATCATCTTGGCAAGTGGAGACGAATCCAAAGCATATGTCAGAGAAGCAAATGCCATGTTGTCAAGGACTTGGGTTGTATAGTGTCATTCTTGGAAGGACTATCATGGGGTGAGCCCAGTACGGCGTGAAGAGTCTCCCCCCCAACCACTGTGTCGAATAGAAGGGGGTGCAACTCACACTGTCCCAGGGTCCCATGGATATATACCTCCTTGCATCTACCCAGCCCCTGCAGGACGATATTATTGATGGTCTTAATCACAGCCAGAGGTGGTGGCTTTGGCTTGGAGCAACCAGGCAGTTCGCTGATGGAGTATTTTGAAAGGTTCAGGTGGCTTTACTACAGGTTGAGAGCCCTTTGGTTGCAGCAAACAAATGTCAAATATCCAACTGTCACGACTTTGCACACTGTCCAAGTCAATTGGGGGTTGCTCTAAAGTGTTGTCAATTGACATGGGTGCAAATATAAAATTCAGAGTGTAATTAAGCCTGTCACCAGTCGGGGTTTGCCTCAGGTGTATAAAACTGGGTGGTGGATGGCGCATTACGGGGCCGCGTCACCCAAGAGAGAAAAGATGTTCTCCAACAATGCTTTCATCGGCCAATTTTGCCGGGGCAAGCTCAAGAAAGCCGAGAGAGCTCGATTGACACTGAAGACCACAAAGCGTTCTGCTAATGGAGGCTATCAAGGTACAGCGGCTCTCAAATCCACACAGCCACCCAGCTGAAAACTGACATATGTTCCATGTTGTTCAACCATCCATCCCTGACCTTGTATATAACAGAATCCTTTTGACGTCCTGATGTTTGGGTCTTTTTGGGGACCAGTTGACCCTAAGGGTCTATCCTCGGCTCTTCGGGAAGAAGGTCGTTGAGCTGCTGCCCGTCCTTGCTACCAAAGGTGAGGGGAAACCGCTTGATTCCGCCATCCCTGCAGGAGTTTCAGCTACCGAGGCCTTCGCAAAGGCCCCATGGGAGGATTGGCCCGAAGCGAACCTGCGGCAGGTGGCCAAATATTTGCGGGGCAACAAGAGCCTGCAACTCCCAGCGGCGTGGAGGGAAGTTTTGCCCACGAAGATATAATTAAAGGAACCTATGTTGAAAGCGCCAAGCACAGATGCCAAGATTATCAAGCTGTTGGTTCCACTTTTGGCAAAGCTCAATGCGTTAATTTGGCTTTGAGTGCATTGTGGGATGTATGCCCACTTACCTCCACAGGCGAGTTTGCTTTTGGTCGTAACTATTTCCATTGATGCTACATAGGCCATATAGGTTCGCTTCAATCATCACCAAGGCGTCAAACATTCACCCATATAGAATTCCACAAAGCTCCATGTCAGGCTCCACGAGACTTTCTTTCTTGTGATTGGCAACTTTGGTGAGTATATATTGCACGAAAAGGAACCCCAATACTCCTCCTGGTTCATCTGGGTCCCCAAAAGATTCCCTTGATTGCAGTTTTGTCGGGAAATCTTCCATTTTTGATGGGTTCGTGCCGGAAGGGCCCCCGGTGAAATTTTGGGGAAATGGTCAGTCTTTTGAACGGACGATAAACACCATAAATATTACATAAGATTGTTGCACATTATTGGTTTTGGAGGGGCTTCCCGAAACTGAAATGTGACTTCCCGAAACCATTGCGTTCAGATTGCGTTCAGATTGCGTTCGTATTGCGTTCAATTGCGTTCAGATTGCGTTCAGATTTATGTAATTATTACGCAAAAAATTTCCCGAATTGGGGGGGGTCCAGGTTCCCATTTTTCCCTTTTAGATCGCCTTGAGGTATCAAAAGGGTATACCATTTATGCGGGAACATCCCGAAATCATATACTGTCGCTGGATCGAAGCCAGCCCAATTCAGTGGTCGGGGGCATTCCCACCGACCTGGCCAGTGAGCAGTGATTTCAATACAGGGTTAAACGCGCGGGTTGAGTGTATTTTGTCAGGCCATCTTGCACTCTAAACCAAACAAACGCTCTTTAACCAGCTTGCTTTCCTTTACCATGGGTGTATTATGGATGCCAATGTTGTTGACAAATTGAGGGCACATATATATGCATGTTTGGTGCTATATATAGGTTCAGGTGATCAACCATTTTGCTGCGAAGGGTTTGCTTGATAGTCAACCATGTCGGCCAGCACCCTTCCCAGTCGCACCTGGTCGTGCGGCACGTTGGAGAATGGGGGCAACGCCTGCAAAGTCATTGCGGGGTTGAAGCTTGATGGACATGACTTGCCAACCGCCTTGAAGGACTTTGGTTTGTTTTTTGTTGTGGAATGATTTGAGCGTTCCAGAAACGCATCATCCGCTTTCAGGATGCGAGGGCCTTGCTTGAGGCTCTCAAGGCAAAGAAAAAGGGTGAACCAAGCATTGTGAAGGTCAAAAGGGAACCAGGGACAGAACCAGCCCCTTGACCGCCAAAGAACAAAGACACCGCAAACAGTTCAATCATGTTTTCACGGTTTTACTCGACCTGCGCTGAGGCTGCAAGCCCCGCTGGAACAACTTCATCGGCTACTCGATCATCGGCTACTCCAACAACGGAAGACGACACCCAGCCAGCGGCCCCTTGTATAGAATAAGTTCATTTGGATTCCAAACTTGTTGGCCACGCCTGACCTCCCATGCAAGCCAACAGACCTATAGCTTTTCAAGGTGGCCTTGTTGCCCTTCAACAGGCTTATAAAACGATAGAAAAGGACACCATGCCTTAATTTCAGAGTTTGTTGGTCTCTCAATGTTTGGTTGCCAAAGGACACCTTCTTTCATCCAAGAAATATGCAGTTTGCGTCCAATGTTGTTGAACACTAAGTCTGCCTCCGAGCTTGCTGCATACACTTCATCCAACTTGACATCAAGAGAGTCTTGGCACCGTTTCCATTCACACTGGGAGTCTATCTTCTTCCATGTGTTCTTATCCAAGTCATTCCAAGTCCAGTTGTCATGACTGAACGGCATGCATGTAATTTCGATTGTGACAGTGGCAGCCTGAATGCAAAGAGCCTTTGTATCTAATGCCCAAAGTTTCAACTTGACAAGTATGTTGTTGTATAATGTTGTATACAGCCTTGGTCCTGACACTGAAGGATGGAACCCCACCATCTACGCCCACGACACCGGGTGACCATGAGGACCGCGCGCTACTCAAGAAGGCTTGTGATAAAATTCAAGACTTGGAACGTCAGTTGGAAGGGTTGAAAATCAGTGCGGGGAAGAACACTGAGACCTCTCCCCACCCGACTCCCGTGGAGCCTGGAACACCTGCAGCTTTGGATTCCAATGGTGCTCCTGGCTCGGCATCCGGGAAGCAGCCAGACGCTCCCGACGATTGTATTGTCACGCCCGACGGCAAAGCAGCTTCTCAGTCTTGATCATGTTTAAGCGGAACTGAACATGTTTCCTGTGTGTGTCAAAGCGTGTTTAACCTTGCTCAAGCAAACCCATGTGGATGTGCAACCCTCTAACATCAAGGTTCTTGGGCACGATGCCCTACGTATGAGATTGCGCAGGATGGTGGAAACTAAGCCGAGTGGCAAGTGCCACGTGGACGAGAGCGTGCGTCTAGACTATGCCCACCATGAAAAAACGAGAGTGGCTCGAAATCGCGCTGTTGGACGCGATTAAGAAATGGGGAACGGACCGAAAGCAGTTCAAGAAGATCAGGGTGGGGATTGCAAAGAAAACACATGGGTTAACCCTCGGCGTCATTGAAAAGAAAACAACTGAGTCGCACGATGTCAACATGACACTTTTTGGGTATAGTCCTTGGGGTTATATATAGTCTGTCGACCTGCGCGCACGGCCCTGCCAGACAGAGTTTTTGACCCGAGTGGTGGTGGTTCGCGAGCGTATGAGCCTTCGTGAGCAAGAAGTACATGGCACGTGGATGACAGAGGCCAAGCTGCTGAAGACCTACACACCGACTCTTGGTTGCGATGCATTTTGAGTTGGCAGCATAACCGAGGAATGACTTTTATGGACCTTTCAGTGAACAGGGGTTTTGTACAAGTTGGCGTACAATGCAGTCTATAATAAGGAAAGATGCAGCGGCCATCATCGCTTACTGCACACGATGGCCAAATACTTTGGTACGGTGCGGCCATTTGCACATAATGATATACTTCCTGCATGCTCATGTGTGCCAGTGATCATCCATGTTGGAAAAGCACGTGTTTGGGCATGCAAGCAACCTTCAATGATTTTTTTGGCTTGCGCTCATGCTCTGTGCAGGGCGTGGAAGTACGACAATGCTGTCATGGAGTATTTCGTTGAAGATGAATGTAAGAGTCTGCTCAAGAAGTCTGAACTCCTTAGGGAGGTCGAAACCACTGAGAAAGACGCAAGGGTCCCAGCATCTAATCAGTATCTCAAAAACATTTGACTTTTGTTCTTCCGTGGCAACCCCCAACAAAAACACACCAAGTGCGTATAAGGACAAAGTCTCTGGTGAAGCTCCAGACACGAACGGCTTGGCACTCGATTTGTGGGAGAGCAACCGTCCGGGCGATGGTGCCAGTGTAGAGGTTCTGGGTGCGAAGGCTATCTTGAACAAATTCAACCAACTTGCCCTTCCATCGAGCTCACCCCCCCGCACCTCCAAACACGTTTTGGCCTGGCAGGTCGCGCCAGATCTTGAGAAGTTCATGCAGACCATCAGGGACAAGATCAACAACATCGTGGACATGAAGGGTTGGCTGGAGTCTGGTAAGTCAGACGCTACGGGCCAATGCAATGTGCAAAGTCCTTATACCATATGTGCAAAAGTGTACCAACTTGAAACAATATATGGGAACATGTTGCACCTTCATCTTTTTTTTGTTTAGGTTGTCGCAGAACTTGGACAAGTGCAAGAAAACTCTTGACACTGCATACACATCTTTTGCCAAGCTGTTGACTGACTTCAAGATGGACAATCCAGACCCGAAGAGTGAGACGTTCAAAAAGTTACTTGATTGGAATGCAGTGTGCCGTGTGCCCCAAACAAGTTCCAACATGCGCACTCGGATTTCGATCGCTCGGTCCCAGTCCCAGGCTTCCAATATGGTGAACAGGTTTTGGCAAGGTCCTTTCCCCAGCATACCTATGGACACCAGTGATTTCAGGCCACCACCATCATGAAAACAATTTCAATTTGGACCGGAAACCAATAAACGCCGAAGCAACATCGTCTTCAAGCGCCTCGCCCCTCCAGCCAAGTGCCAACGAAGGTCCAGCCTTTGACAGTTCACCCAACTTGACAGTTATTTTGGAGAGTGGTACCCTGTTTGAATGATGTTGTGCGTGGGCTTTTCTATCCAAATGGAAGGTCTTCTTCTACACCAGTCCCATCCACCTGATAATCTGATACAGCAGTGAAGAATCGAAAGAGGGAACCTGCGCAAATACATGTTTGATTTGTTCAGCCCTCAACACCGTCAATCCCAGGCTGATTGCTGCCATTGAGAGCGAGAAAGCCAACGTCAAATCTCCGATCCTTGACCAGCTTGTGATCTGTGGTGGGGTTTGCTGTGGTGAGGTTCTTCCAAACCGACCCAAATCAAGTTCCATGTTCTTTGAACATGCCAACTCTAAGGTGTGTAGACCTCTTGACAATGGATGCTGAGTTCAAGCATCTTGCCTGGACCATCCCACTCTAGTGATTGCATGGACATGTGATGGTGTTGCCCCATCATTGGATTTCCTGCCTAAGGCAACTCAAAAAGGACGCTTCCAAGTGTAAGAAGAATTCGAAAGGAAACAAAGGCAAAGGCCGGTCTCCTAAGGAAGCCAAATCTAAGGAGGTCAAAGTGCCAAAAGAGACCGGTAGAAAGAGGGCTAAGGGACGTGGCACAAAAGCTGCCAAAGCCGAAGATGCTGTTGAGTCCGGGGCTGCGACTTCCAAGAAGAAGCCAAGGAAGGGCAGCAAAGCCTGAAAGGCAAATTCGCAGCTACTTTTTGATGTTTCTGTGCGGGATTACCTGCATATATAGAAGGGAGATGATGACACATTTAGAACATCTGTTGCTTTGATGGGGAAATTTCGCCCCGCTGGTCTTGCATGTGTGATCGACATGCCTTGGGAGAGTCAAAGCAAGAGCAAAAGGATTATGCGGCTGAAGTGCACCATTGGACACTGGGTTTGTGGGTTTCTTCCACCTCTACGTGCCAGGTCCCTCCAAGAAGGCTAAGCACTTGGCCTGGAAATATGGTCGTGGAGAAACTTGGCGCCATTGCGAAAGCATTGACCAAGCATGGTTTCAAAACATGATTCAAAACAGTTCTCAAGAGCTTTGATCAGTGTGGGTGGTCTTCGCATGAAAATATGTGACCTGCACAGTTTGCCCCTTGACTTGGTTCTTTCAATTCTTAAGGAACCATGCGCTGAGATTGTCAGATTCGCGAAAGCTGACATGAGTGACCGCTTTGCTGAAGAGCGAGCCAGCGGCGAAGATGGCTTTTGCTGCCCAGTCATCTCAGCTTTGCACAAAGTGTCAGAGAAAAACGCGGACACTTTGGCTGGATTTACTTTGGATAGTGTTTCAACCCTCTAGTTTTGGGAATCACCAAACAAGGTAGGGTGGGGGGAGCACCTGTTGACTTTTGACATGTGAGAAAACAACCGCTTCAGGAAGAGGGCGTATCCCGGATTTTCAAGCAATATGGTATGGTTTACCCAGTGCCATTGAGCTTCAGTTGTGTGGCTGGCCAGACCAACTTTCCATGGATCCGCCCATCGCATCTCATCAAGACCTTGTACAGCACATGTGACATCCATATGCTACTTGGTGGCGCGCAAACTTTTGAAGAAGCAAAGCCGGCATTGGAGTTGTTCTGGTCTCGGTTTGCCAGCATCTATCCACAGCACGGTGTTTTTAGAAAAATCCGTGAATCACTGGGGAGAATTTCCACCTCTCACCTCTTACCAATTTTGGTTCACGGTGACGAGGGAACTACGTACAAGCGGAATGGCATGTTGGTGCTCCAATTCTCGGGGGCGCTTGGAAAGGGAACCAGGAAGACTAAGACCCCGGACTCATGGTACAAAGATCTGGCAACCTATGGCATTCCTATGAACCTTGTGAAGACAGCATTACAAACCAGATTGTTGACTTTTCTTTGTCCAAAGGACGGGGTTGGCACATAGTACTGTTTCGTGATATGGCTAAACCAAATAAAATAAGTGGGTTTGTATCTTTGGTGGGTTATTTATAGACCTCCAGCTATGTTACCTGATAGGAGATGTACTCGAGCGACCCCTCCGTTTTCAAACATATCATTGACATTGTGGTGGATGACTGGAAGCAGCTTGAGGATTCCGGCATTGAGATTCCTGCCTATGGCACTGTGTTTCCGATCGTTCTTGGCAACAAAGGCGACTGGAGTTACCTTGTTTCCTGGATCTGCTGTGTTATTGTGCTTCTTCCAACCGTCCTTTTAAACGGGCTTCAGAAATTTATCAACAGTGCCCTTTATATGTTCGAGTGTTTTGGGGTAGCTGCAAATCCAGGTTACATCGGCAAATTTGGAGAGGTCATACCGCCGAGCTCCCAAAGGTCGTGAACAAGCAAAGAAATACATGGACAACCCTCCTGGGATTTGTCACCTGTGTATGGGGGGAACCAAAGAAGGTGACTGGGAAGACCTGACGCTTAGTGCAGGAAGTATTACATTTTAACTTTTGGTGGCTTTGCAGACTTCAGTTTTGTCGCCCTTTACTCTGTTGATTGTTTGGATTTCTCCGATGTATCCGAGGATAGTTGCCAAAAGATTGATTAGGGCAGCGCGGACTTGCGGCACACCACCACCATGGGACGTTGAGCCCGCTTGGACACGGCTGCTGCATGACGAGAGCCCTGGAGGCGCGCAGCGTTTCCACAGGCCTGATGTCTGGCACACAGTGCACATGGGCATTGGCAAGGCATGGGTGGCCTCATCGGTGAAGTACGTACAATTTCTCACCGGTGAATCGAGCGTTGACAAGCGTGTGGCCGTTCTCAGCGATGACTACATGTCGTTCTGTGAGGAAAATTCCAAAGTGAAGTACCTCAAGAAGTTTGAGGCTCACACCTTCGGCCTCAAGGCCCCTGAACCCGCAGCATCGTGGAACAAAGCGCATCTGACGGCGACCCTGATGCAGTGGCTGCAAAGTTACCTTGAAAAGTTCAAGGACGCCTGTGATGCTGACCTTCGTCTTCGGTTTATTGCCGCTTCAAGCGTGGTTCTTGCACATTTTGTGTTTGCAATGTTTTGCTTTGTTGTTTTACTTTGCTTCGGGCCGGTGAGTGTGTTTGCACATTCTCCGGGAGAATTGAGGCTTCGGGTACAAAAGCCTTGAACTTCTTTATCAGCTCCTTGTTTGTGGAGGGCATTTGGATTGAGCGAAGCAAAGCACAAGAACTGATCAAAGCTGGAGAGCATTTCCTTCAAGCTTACCAGTTTTTGGCGCACAAAGCCATTGAGGATGGCAAGCCTGCGTTCGCCATGTTTCCAAAAAGCCACATGTTTCAAGAACTTGTGGAGGAAATGGCTTACCAAATCGAGGTTTCTCCATACTGCTGGAACATTCTCGCTGATGCTTGCTTTCAGGAGGAGGACATGGTCGGACGGATCTCTGCGCTTACGCGCATGGTTTCTCCGCGGAACCAGGCCTTACGGGCACTTCAACGGTATTTAGCTCAAATTAACGTTTGCTGGAGCATGCGATGACGGCATGTTCACTGTTCAACTGCCAGACCGCTGCAGGGGAGGGCAGTGGAAAGTGTGTGTGGTTTGGGGTTGAGGTGCAGGGCAGGGTGGAGTGTGGATCGGTATACATAAGGAATTGCATGGAATTTATGGTGGTGTGACCGAACATGACGGACCCTTGGCAATGGACGATTTTTTCCGTAGGAACCCGTAGGATACGATGAACTCCGTTCAGAAAAGAAATTTGAAGGAAATCACCGTATAAGTGCTTATCCTGGACATAAGTTAAAACTTCAACTCGAATGGGGGTGCAGGTAATAACTAATTCTCAAGACCTCAAGAACCTCGTGGAAGACTCCGTATAGTGTATACTGGTCGTGAACCAAAACTTCGGGGATCTTGGGAAGGTTCCTCTGGTAGACAAGCCAGTCGAGGGAACTTGAAGCACCAACTCAAGTGACCCGAATAGGGAATGACAGGGAATGAGCATTGACATGTCGCCCCAAGATACGTCCCCCCCTCCCAAATTCATTGAATCCTGTTGCCTGGGTCGCGATCACACATGCAACAAGGGGTAGCGTCGTGTTGTTGTTGTTGTTGTTGCTGCTGTTGTTGTTGTTGTTGTTGTTGATTACCTTGACTTCCACGTTCACGATCACGAGGGAGAGCTCTCGAGCGCGGCTTGCCGTAGCACGCACTGCATCGGCTAGTCGTCTCCAGGTGATCCGGATGTTGGGGCACGGATGAGGTGAAAGAGTCTAACTCGCCACACAAATGCATGGTAATGGTATAATGGTTGGTTGCACTTTTGCTTTTGCTTTTGGAAGTAGAAACACCTTATTTCAAAAGCAAAAGTGCAACCTAGCACAATCGAACTGTCCAGATCGCCCTCTGCAAGTTCCAAGCCCTCTGCAGAAAAGTCAAACTCCCCTAAATCCCTAAGAGCACCCAAACAAAAGGATGAGTGTTCAATCCGAAAGCACATCCTAAGGTGTTGAGGTCCAAGATGGGCGGCATATTGGCCATGATGCTGCATATACAGTCAAGTGTGATGGCTATATAGTCAGTAAAGACTTGCAATTCCAGCTTCAGAAGCCCTGTGACCTACTGGCCTACTGACCAGTGGTCTGTCAAAAGCAATGATGCTCTTGCAAATAGGATATGATCTCAAGATATCTTAAGTATCTGAACATGAATGATATATATATATATAGTTACAAATATACTGTATTATATTAAACAATTATATCCCTATCGAGCATGCCATCCCCGTCCAAGCTGCACTACGTCCGCCCCATCCCTCATCCACATGTCAAAAAAAGGTTCCTTGAAGTTCACCGGCCCACTCAAGGGCACTGTCACTGGACTCTTCTTCAATGCAAAGGCCCGCTGCCGAACGAGCTCTGTCTTCCCACCTGGTGAGGGAAAAACGGTCACGTTCCACTCTTCAGGTGGGGTTCCCTGGAGATCACCGAGATCGCTGGAGAAAAAGAACTATAAGTATACGGGTATCCGTATAACCGTCCAGTTCAACCAATTATGCACACATCATCATCAGCTCGAATGGAAGAATCCTGGCATATACATTCTCTCATCATTGCTTCATACACCCACCAGCATCTCAAACTGAAAACCAAATGATCTCCACGCTCATCCTCCTAGATCTCCCAAAGCTTCTGCCTCACCAATTGTCTCGTCCACATGTCTTGCGCAAGACAACCGATGCGTGGCGACAAGCCACAGCCAGCATTCTCCGAGACCACGACCGCGAGCTTCGGCGCCAGAAGCTCTACGAAGCGCTTCAAGCCCAGCTCTGAGAAGGGGCTGGCGGGCTTGGCGGGGATCTCCTGGCAGGCTGAGGAACAGGCCGAGGAACAGGTCTTTGCAAGCTCAGGAACAGGGAAAAGCATGGAAAAGAGCAGCATGGAGGAGTTGCAGAAAAGGATTCACTTCAACATTAACCCCTTTTTGAATCTTTTCGGGGTTCCCAAGAACGGACCCTTCTCGGAATTTGCAAAGGTATTCACATTGGCTGATACCAAGTGTTCTAGGTCCTACTGCCAAGCAATAGCATTCCTTGCTCATATCGGAAAAGGGCAAGCTTCTGGGATAGATCCAAAGTGTACGAACTTTGTCCTTATGCTTTGAGCCCCGTGGCAAATGCATGTAGTGATAGTGCAATCTCTAACTTGCCCAAATGGGTGTGGTGTGTATGTGTATGTGGTTGCCCGGCTCATTTACATACCGGGCACACTACCTGAACCTGTAAACGAGCCACTGAACCTTGACCAACCATGCGCTTGTCGCGCTTGTCCATCGAGTTTGGCGTTGAAGTCGCTTGCTTTCAAAAGGTCCATTTCACCACCTCACTCGCCGCACACGCTGGAACGCGTGGGATCCGGGGATCGGCCCGGTCCCGGAGGAGATGCACTTGTGCCGCATCGTCGCTCTTGCACAGGGCCACGAGCACCAAGCGATAGGAGCTCCCAAGAGACTTGAGGTGCTCAACGAGGCGATGCTGCAACTTGTAGCTCAATCTTTGTACATGGACCATGACATAAAGGCCTAGCGCACAGAGAAGTCGGGGGGAGAGTCAAGGAGGTCAGAAGTGGACGGTGTTGGCAAGGCAACGAAGTGGCTTGTTTTGGCATGAAGGTGAATTCTCTTGCCCTGCCAGTTAAAAGTGCTGCCTTGGCCCTACAAGCAGATTCACATCTGATCTGATGAATCAGCATGTGATCTTTGCAAGGGCATCCTTTCCAGGCCATCCTTTCATCTATCTTCCCATTGAAGGACCAAAATCAAGTGTCAAGAGATTCAAGAAGTCTCATGCAATATCCATGATACTACGCTGATCTACCCTGACATGTATCATATCCCACCTTTACGGTACTTGCCAATTCTACAACCCTCCCACGCCCAGGGCGCACGGCAGCAGCCACGGCCTGGGACGTATTGGCAGCGCGCCAAGAAGGCGTCCAGCTGTGGCCATGAGGTGGCTGCAGAACAAAACATCATCTCGTGTGCTCGTGGCAGTGCCGACTCTCCTGGCCGAATCCCAGCAGCCAATGGAGGTCTATTGGCTGTCAAGGCTGAATGCATTTTGTTACGGCCCTACAAGTAGGTAAAAAAATGGGCGTCAGTTGGCAGGTCCCAATAGGTTGGGATTGTTTAACAGTGTGAATAACAATGAATAACACAAGACATCACAAGACCGTACCTGCTTTTGAGCCCCCCAAGCTCTGCTCCCTCAACTCGGCCCTGTTCTCGTCTGCTCTTCTCCTCCGTAGAAGGACAAGGCCATGCGCAAGACGTCCTCCTTCGCTCTGGCGTGCACGGATCTCACCACACCTGGCTGGACACGGCTCAGCAAGCCCGTCTCGATCTCATCGGACCTCAGGAAGCCGACGTGTCCGGGAGCTTGGGACGGTCGTGTGGGTGATGTTAATTTGTATTCATATTCATATTATGCACATCAAAGTCATACCATCATTATATATTTCATATAAAAATTGTCCAATGGATATATTATACCTGTATAACAATCATTAATTATATATCATGGTCATAGCATCGTAGTTGCAGGAAGTCAGGTAGGATACTTAGATCCCATGGTTCCTGCGTATGCGCTTCTGATGCCATTGGTGGTTTGTTTCGGCCCGTGTCTTCGATGCAAATGAGGAATTCCTGCCTGTCACAGAAACTCATCGGACATGGCCACATGGGGCATGGATCTATTGAGCCATTGGGCTTCACCATCGTTCCCTCTTATATAAGCATCTTTCACATCTCAAGAGATGTGGCGCTCAGGTCCAAGATGGATAACAGTAATTAACAAACAAAAGCCCTCACGATCCTGGAATACATGGCGAAAAAGGAGAACCTCCTACTGTACAAAATCAAAAATGAACCCTGGCGAGATCACCCAAGACTTATTAAAAGAATGGCTTCTGCCTCCATCAGCTGCGCTGTTTCTTCCAGCATTTGAAGGCCCGATCAAAACGAGCTTGCTTCACACCAAGCATCCCAACCGAAAACTGAAGCCCACAATACCTCACAAAATACTCTCCAAACCGGGACCTCAGACCACCGACCCTCACTTGTTCTATCCACTTCCACGTCTGTAGACCCCAGTAGCAAAAAGCGCTGAGGCTGCCGATCTCGAAGGTTGACTCTGCAGCCTCCAGCAACCGTCGTCAAAACCTGGCTGCAAGAACCGAGGTCTCATTGCTGGTGGCTGTCATCAAAAGAGTGGTGAAAGACCCAAAAGGGGGCCAAGGAGTTGATGACCAGACCAGACCCAAATGGCTAACCCAAATGGCTTACCATTTGGAGTTGTGAAAAACCAGACCCCAAAAATGACTCATTGAAAGACCAGACCCCAAATGGCTAACCAGGCCCCAATGGTTCATTGAATGAGCCTGGCTTCGACTTTGGGTTTCAAAGATCAACCCCCACCCACTACAGGCCTTGTGGCAACAAAATCAACCCTGGTAGGTTGCTGATGAGAGGATATCTGACAACATTTGGAGGGCTTACCGGCCAGGCAAGGATGCAATGAATTTTTGAATCCAGGATCATTGATTCCCTGCACCAGATTCGATCCACCAAGAACATCTTCCGGCATTCCACAGGTCGTTTTGGAGCAAGCCACTCCAGCAAGGCAGAAGGATGGGAATCTGTTTCGTTCCCTGGTTTGCTCAGTGATTTGATAGAGGTTCGCCTATCTATATCCGCCGACCCCGGCCTATAGCCAAAGCCTAGGCGGGGAGGCGCCTGGGACACCGCAGGGTGAAGCAGTTGGCCAAGCCTAGCAGAACCCTTCAAGCACTTCCAAAGGCGCAGGATGCAGCAGTTGGCCAAGCCTAGCAGAACCCTTCCAAGCACTTCCAAAGGCCTGTCCGAGGCCTCAGCAGCTGGCTGGCCTGTTGCGGCCTCTCTGTGGCCTGTCCGAAGCCTGCCTCCTCTC